CCTAGATGATAATGAAGAGGTGCGACTGTTCGCGTGACTGAAACGACTGTCCTATGACGAGCGCTATTTGCTGGCGTCATCCTACGGAGTTATCTTCTACAGTATGATTCGACACTAACTACACTTAATCGACTTACAGAAATGCTAAGTATCAAATATATCACAACACTCCCCTTCATTTCCTGAAGTTCGATAGTGTCACTTCTTGAAGATTCCGCAGAGCTTGTTACAGTACTGAAACTTTTGTCGTGTCAGCTTCTTCGTGAGAAAATCGGCAGCCATTTCGTTGGTCGAACAGTAGACCAATCGCATCCTCCCCTTCTCGACTTCATCTTTGACGAAAAAATAACGAAGCGAAATATGCTTCGTCCTGTTGACAAAACCAGGTTGATGTGCGATGCGAATTGCACTTTGATTGTCGCACTGTAGGGTAAACTGGGTAGTTGTCGTCAACTTCGCTTCTTCCAATAGTTCCTGTAAGTAAAGTCCTTCGCGTGTTGCTGTGCAGACAGCAATAAACTCAGCTTCAGCAGACGAGAGTGCAATCAGCTCCTGCTTCGTAGAATTCCAAGAGATAGGTCCGATAGGTTCTAGTCGATAGATGAACCCAGTGCGCGAGCGTCGATTAGTAGAATCAGCAGCGTGATCGGCGCCGACAAAACCATGTAGGTAGAGTGTTTTACAACCGATAACGTTGTAGACTAAACCGACGTCAGGTGTTGAGATAAAATATTGAAGCGCGCGGAGAAGATCAAGCTGATGCTCCTCCTCAGGACGGCGTGGGAACTGTGCGAACTGACTGGCCGCGTAGGCTAGATCAGGACGACAAGTGACAGCGGCGAAAAGTAGACAGCATAGCTGCTGTTGATAGATCTGTAAACCGGTTGAAGTTAACAGTGCGGTGTTCGGTTTGTGGTCAGTCGGTAGTGTGCGGTACGGTGTAGAGACTACAGTAGGTGTGAGGTTGAAGCGGGCAGCGAGTGTTGCTGCATACTTAGAAGCGGTGAGATGAATAGTTGTCGGTGAACAGGTAATGTTCAGTCCAAGAAACTGTGAGACTGTTTCAGAGACGGTAAGCTGTAGATTTTTCTGTAATTTCAGTATGAAGGTCTCGGCAAGAAAATCGGTAGTACTGACGTATAGGATGTCATCGACGTAGGCGACGAGTAAAATATAGTTGTTGCCGTCGGTCAGTAGATACATTCCTTGGTCATGCGGTAGTTGACGAAAACCGGCAGCGATCAGTTGTGAGTGGAGATACTGCTGCCAGAGCCGTGGTGCCTGTTTCATGCCGTATAGGGATTTTCAGAGACGGCAAATGCTCGGTGGGTTAGTAGTATAGGAATGCGGGTACTCTACTAGGATAAGCGCGTCGACAGGCGCGTAGAGAAATGCATTCGAGACGTCGATTTGTCGAAGTCGGAGATTACGGCAGGCGACGACACAAAGTAGAATCCGAACGCTTGTATGTCGGCCAACAGGAGCAAAAGTTAATTCGTAATCGATGTCGTAAGTCTGTTCGAACCCGCGGACGACCCATCGCGCCTTGAACTTCTCAAACGACCCATCTACATTAGTCTTGACGCGGAAGACCCATTTTCCGGTAAGTACCTTCTTCCCTTTTACTTCTGAAGTCGGTATTAAATCCCATGTGCCACGATTCTTGAGTGCTGCTAGCTCCTTGTCCATGGCTTCGCGCCATTTTTCTCGGTGAGGACTCGTAAGAGCTTGTCGAACGGTTTTCGATTCAGGTATTTTACTGTCGTTGTACTGTACTGCGACTGCGAACCCCAGTATCTGTAATCCTGTTTCCGTAAAGCGCGGACGTTCTTCGTTTGCACCTGCGAAATTTTCTTCTGGTCCTTCTTCCCCCCCAATTTCGTCAGGTGTAACACGAACAGCTTCGTCGGAGACGACGGGCATCGGCTGCTGCTGGCGGTCGCGTTCGTAACTGAGATGAACTTCGCGAACATCATCCTGGTCAGCATCTGCAAGAGGAATGAATTCAGGTATGCCGGTCGAGGTGAAAGGTTCGGGAATGTCTGTTGCGGCAGCTTCGGAAGCTTCAGAAACATCCTCGTCCTGTACATCTACTTCGGCTTCGTCAGTTGCAAATGCACGCGAGCCTTCGAACAGCCTGGCAGGGTTGGCAGCTGCTGCCTGGTGGGCACGAAAAACGGGCAAGGTGAGTCTTTCATAGAAAAGACAATCACGTGATGGAACGATTTGGTTGGACCGGAGATCCAAAATCTTCTACGCGTGATAATGTTTTTCGATGCCGAGATGTACCCCCCATTTTGCTCGTTCGGAAATTTTTCCGAGTGCTGCGGTTGGAGGACGAAACTGTACAACACACCCGAAAACTCGTAAAAGTTTCGTGCTCCCCACTGTACGTGTCCACTGCAGGTGTGGAGGAGAGAACTCGGGCAGGGATCTTGAAGAAAGAAGATTGTGTAACAGCACTGCGTGGTCCATCGCATACGGCCAAAAATGCAGTGGAAGGGCTGCCTGCGTCAGCAAAGCACGCATCTTCTCCTGCAGAGTTTTGTTCATCCTTTTTGCTACCCCCATTTGTTGGTTTGCATGTGGCAGGGACTGCTTCCGTTTGATGCCGAGTGTCTGAAAGTACTCTGTGAAGGTATTGCTGGTGTACTCCCCTGCACCATCACTCTGAAATTCTTGTAGTTTCACGTTGGACTCTCGTTCAGCGACAGCGAGCCATGCGACGAAGATGGAGTGAGCGAGATGGCGCGCAGGTAAGTTGGCTGTCCAGACATAGCGTGTAGACGCTTCGATGAAGGTTATCACATACTTCTCGTCTTTAGGTCCTGCTTCAGACAAGTTGAGTATGTCGCTGTAGACTTTCTGCATCAGTTTATAACGGGTGGAGCCGGGAAAATGACTTGGAAACGGATCGTGCGTAAGGTTGGCAACTGGACAAGTGGTGCAAACCGTCGGACGAGACTGCGGCTTCATCTTCGTGCCATCAGGTAAAAGTAAACTATTTTTATCAAGAACTGCTGCTCGGATTGAATGATTAAGAATCCCTTGTGATGGGTGTCCTAACCTCTGATGCCATATATCTTCTGTGGCTTTGTGTCCTGATGATCGCAGGTAAAAATCGGAGTTAGTATAAAACGAAGAAAGAATGAAAGGAGAAAGCGCTTGTGACTTGTCAATTTCTCCTTCGACGAAACGGTTAAGAGGTAACGTGATATTTGTTGGTGCTGCTGCAGTTGCGAGTATATCTTTTGACATTGCTGCTGTTGATGTCGTGGCAGGTATTTCGGCGATAGCTACTGTTGTACTCGGCTGCTCAGCTACTACTTCCTGTTCGGCTTCTTCAACAACGTCAGGTTCATAAGCTGCAAGACCACTTATTTCTCCCCAAAGTGGTACTGGAGTTCCTTGGAAAGCTGCACGGGTATTATAAAAAGTTCGCCAAGCGTTGGCGCCTTCATCGGCGGTATTGAACTCCCGGGTATCCAACGCGGTAAGTACGACGGCTGCAGTTCGAGAAACTGTTGGTACGGTTGTTGCTCGAAAGTCAATATCCACGTGTTGATAATCCGTTTCTTCTGGGTGATCCTAGGGACCAAGTGCAAGCACCCGTTCAGAATCGCCAGAAGTTCCCTGTGCTGCGAACTGAAGAACAGACACGCCATGTTGAGTGGCGGCACGACCAAGATAAGTATTCGTCGAACTGTGCCAGAGCTCCTGATCCATCGTGTCACAATTGCCCTGTGTGCGGATTTTGTGTGCCAGGAGTTGAGCCGTGGAAAGAAGATTGAAGCCAAGACCGGCGACGATAAGAACATTAGTAACATGAAGTGAGTATCCCGTGTCGATAGATTCGAGCATGACACTTCCGACTGCTCGTGCCATAATGGTTTGTCCGTTTGCGACTGTTACAGGTATCGGACGACGAAGTGGACGTTGATTGGTAATGAAGCTTGTTTCTGCTGAGCACATGTGCCATCCGCAGCAACTGTCGAGATACCAAGTATTTGGACCTGAAATGATTCGAGCAAGGTTAGCGTAAACTTGAGGTAAAGGAATGCCTTCAGCACTTGTGGTTTCTTCAAGTTGTGTCTCGAAATCTGTTTCTGAAACATCAACTGTTGTAACACATCCGAAAACTCCTTTTCCTCATGTGGCAGATGCGAAGACCGGCGGGCGATGCTGCGACGTTGATGAATTCTGCGACGGTTTCGGCATCTGCTGCTGCTGAGACGTTAACTGCTGCTGTGGTTGTTGTGTCTTCGGTAACTGCTGCGAACGGTGATACGGCTGCGAAGTGCTGCGACGAGGTTGATGACGGCTGCGACAGTTTTGGTAAGTATGTCCTGGTATTTTACAGAAATGGCAGAATGGATACTTTGGTGGATGTCGATGCTGTGTTTCTGGATTGGAGTAAAAACTCAAGTGTAGTCCCTTTTTGTGATTGCGTTGTGACTGCAGGTCAAGATCTTGCTGCTCTGCTTGAAGATAAGAAGAAATTTCAGCTTCGGAGAGATTGGGATTCATGCGCAGGAAGGCGCGCGTCTGTCGCCATTCGGGTCCAAGACCAGCCAGAAGGACCGTGAGATACATCTCACGAGGGAAGTATCCTCTGCTCTTTTCCAGTTGATCTCGTAGTGTACGGACACGGTTGACGTAGTCCATGACGTTTTCGTTTGTCATCATCTGCACACTTGTCAGCTGCGAAAGTATTTTACTCACTGTTATCGTATCCTTTGCCATGTATACCCCTTTCAGATGGTTCCATGCAGTTTCGGCTGGGGTGAAGCTTGAGTGAAATGATCGAACGCCAAGCTGCTCCTTCGGCGACAAGTTCCGTACAAGAACTGTATATGCCCCGAGAGAGGCGTGCAAGAAACTCTGCTGCTCCAGTTGTGTTCCCACAACAGGATATGTAAATTCGCCAGTGAAGAACGACCATAGCCCAACGGACTGCGCTAGAAGTTCAAACTCAAAGCTCCAGGAGTAGAAGTCAACACCATTAAAAGGTACGGTTGTCTTGATCTGAGTATTGTTAAGTAAATTCGGAGGCTGAAAAACAATGCCTGGCTGTTGCTGTTGTTGCTGTTGCTGTTGCTGTTGTTGTTGTTGTTGTTGTTGCTGCTGTTGTTGTTGCTGTTGCTGTTGCTGTACTTGCTGTGGTTGCTGATACTGCTGTTGTTGTTGCTGAGCAGGGGAACGATCGAAGATATAGAAGGGGTGCTGAAACTGCTGCGACTGCGGCAGCTGCTGAAACTGCTGCGACTGCGACTGCGGCTGCTGAACGATCGAAGATATAGAAGACCTAACAAGTATATATAGTTCTACGAAAAGTACCTATTCGCTAATGTACCTGTTCGTCACTATCGCGCTATGCGCCCTAGATGATAATGATGAGGTGCGACTGTTCGCGTGACTGAAACGACTGTCCTATGACGAGCGCTATTTGCTGACGTCATTCTACGGACTTATCTTCTACAGTATGATTCGACACTAACTACACTTAATCAACTTACAGAAGTGCTAAGTATCAAATATATCACAACACAGACAACGGTTACAGTGCGCATGCCAACGAGTCAGCATGCTGCTACCCATGATCATTCGTTAACGTAGTGGCACGGCAAAGTTTAAGATTGGTGGGATTGGAGAGGCCCCAGCCAAGAAGCCCACACATCTCTTTCTTTGCAAGTTCTTCTACCGTTTCTTCCGTGGCTGTTCTTTACTTGCAATTCGCCCACGTAAGTTCATTATGCTCGTCCTCTGTTTCTTTAGTAGAACCTCGACTTCCTCTCCCCTGCAGCTATGCCCACCGCCGAGAGTGACGAGGAGGAGGATGGTGAGCGTCGACGCTCACTGTCGCCTCCGAGAACGGCGCTTAGTTTCCTCGCGTGCTCGTCGACGAAACTCGCAGGGCAGAACGTAGTCTCGCCCCCGCCTTGTGCTCCTTCGCTGCAGACGGATCCAATGACTGTCGTCACGGGAAGTAGGCCATCTGTCGCATCCGTCCCTGTTTCCACCACTGCTGCTGTGCCTGCGCCAAGCCCCTTGTCTCCAGGTGTCGCCACGTCATCGGCGAAGCGCAAAGCTTCGTCGACGTCGGCCCAGAAATAGGTGCAGCAACGTCTACCGTTTGCCCGCAACGCCGCTGACTCCCCCGCTCGCGACATCCCCAGCGACGAGAAATTTAATGGCGAGGAAGACGACGGTCCCCCCAAGGCTGAATCTGGCCGCGATCCTCTCACTGCCTTTTTTGTTGTGCATCGTCGGTTCAAGGGATCATGGGAGGCTTCTTTTCTGTGGCTTCTGCTAGATAAGTCCAACGAAGGTTTCCCTCTCTTGCGGTGTAGTACATGCAAGGAGCATGGGATCTTGGGTGCAGATGCAAAGTACGGAAAGGGGGGCACCGGCGGAGTCGACATGCAGAAGGACAGCATCCGCATGCACCAACGCTCGAATGCTCACCGCAACGCTGTCGGACTCATGAAAGCTAGGGACTCTAAGAAACGGCAGCAGGCGTTGCTGGACGAGTACGAGGGGCTGGACCGGTCGACTCTCCATCTAATCACCGCTATGAAGACATCGGTGTACACGTGCTAGTCAAAGGCACCTGTGACGTCATACATCGGGTTCATCAAATTCATGGCGTCACTCGACACCCCCAACCTGCCGCTCGAGCAAAAGGGAGCTTACTTTTCGGAGTATGTGGGGCGAGGTTATTTGTAATCTTTGTGTTTTATGCTTTCCTCGTGGTGGATATGCATGAATTGTAACATTGAGTGTCTTGTTCCTAACCAATTAGTGTTTCTTCTTCAACCTTGTACAGGTACGGCTTCAACGAGCTGGTTGAAGCCGCTGCCAAGTACTTGCGCAAGGAGCACGCCAGCCCCTACATCGGCATCGCCCTTGATGAGTACACCGACCGCATGCGGGGCAAGCACATAATAGTCTATGTTACCTACATCAAAGACGGCTTGGTGAAGACAGAGGTCCTTGTCCTCCTCACAGTGGAGAAGTGTGACGCGGCGAGTCTCTTGGATATATTGTAGACTTATCTTCATTCCATGGGCATCGACCAGGAGCGCATCGTCGGCATCAGCACCGACGGGGCGTCCATAGTGACTGGCGAGCGCGGTGGCCTGGTCGCTCGGTTGCGGGCGCAAATCCCGCAACTAGTGTCATGTCACTACATCGCCCACCGGTGGGATTGTGTATTGTTGTTTTCTTTTTGTGCACATCTTCGTTCATTTCTGTTTGGTTATTTATCGTCAGAATTTATACAGCTTTCTGTAATCGACACTAATTGTTACCCCGAATTCACCCCCTCCCCTCCTCCCTGTCGCCTGACAGGGAGGCTCTGGCTGCAAAGGATGCTACTGCAAAGGTGATAGAGTTCGCCATCGTCGATCAAGTCATCCGAACCGTGTCGGAGCTGCTGTCGCGGAGCGTGGTGTGGCATCGTCGCTTCAAGTCGCTGCAGGAGATTCTCTGCGACACTAACCTGGAGATGCAGGGAATCTATGACGTTCGGTGGTTGTTGCGGGGCGCTGCGGTGAAGCGGTTCGTGAAGCTGCTCCCCGCCGTCATCATACTTGTGCACGAGTACAAGCGCGAGCTGTACCGCGTGGTCAAGACTTTCAAATTCCATTTTCTCGTCATCTTCCTCGCAGATGTGCTCGACCTCATGAACGAGCTTAACGGAAAATTTCAGAAGCGGCAGGTAAGCATCAAACCCGTGGTGATGTGGTGGTGTTCTCTTAATTTCCATGGACTAATGCTATTATTTCTCCCCCTTTCAACACTCCCCACCACAGGTAGACATCACGCTCGTGGCGGGGGAAGTGTCGCTGGCGACGCGCAAGCTTGACGTGCGGTACATCGAGTGCGAGAATGGATTCGGCATTGACTCCCCGCTGCTGAAGATCTTCTTGAAGGCCCACGCCAACCCATCCTTGCGTGAGGTGACGGTCGAGGGGGTCGGCAAAGACAACGCGCCCTCCGTCCACACCTTCGTGCTAACGGAAGAGCCGTGGGAGGGTCAGAAGGGCAAAGGCGACTACGGCACCTGCGTGCAGTTGTGCAGGGAGTACGCGAAAGAAGCGAAGGCGGGGGTAGAGGCTTGGCTGGATGACCTCAAAGAGCTCGAGGGCGCCAAGCTCTTCCGCGCGGGGCTCTACCCTGACGATTGGTCGTCGCTGGTGCGGAAGTGTCGCGACTGGCTCAAGTTGCTTGACAAGCTTTTCTACTACTCCCTGCTCGGTATGTGTCTGTCGTTGTCAACGCCTCGCATGGTTGCAAGTTCAAGGCATCGTAGGTTGTGCGTGGTAACCAAGAAGCCTTTTCTATGCGATGTAATGCTGTATATAACTTTGGATATAACTTTGTTACCTTCCTTCCCCCGCCCCCTCTCCTATCCCCCTCCCCCTCTCCTCCTCTCCCCGCCCCACTAGATGTGGATTTCAAGGAGTGCGTGCTGGAGCTGACGCTGTTTCTGCTTACCATGAACGCCAACCACACCAATCTGTCGTTCCAAAAGTCGCTTAAAGTCATGATGGACAGCACAGACTACACCGGCGCATACCCGAACCTCGTGCAGCTTTGGCAGGCTGTCGCTGTGCTCCCACTCAGCACCGTCGAGTGCGAGCATGGATTCAGCCGCTAGAACCGCATCTAGTCTTGGACGCGGAGCTGTTTGGGGGACGCACGCTTGGGCGACTTGATGACCGTCGCCCTCATCCAGTGCGGCTCCATGAACAGGCAGCACCAGCAACACTAGCAGCACTAGTAGCAGCAGGGAGGGCACAAGTAGCAGCTGTTGCGTCCCTCAGTAGTAGCACGATTCGGCATGAGTAGGAGCAGGAACTATACTGGATCCTGAATGTTTGCTGTGTTCGTGATTTCAAATAATCCTAGTATGATTGTGATGAATCGAAACAACACTATATCTACAGAGTCAGCCTGCCATTGCATCATACCCATACGTGGATTAGTAAATTTTTTGGGGACCCTAATATATAAGCCTTGGCAAAAATTCTTGGCTTATAGGAAAAAGTACTTTCAGGGGGCTGGGCTGATGATAATGAGTACTGTCTTGAACCGAGCTACCAATAAAGAAGAAGGCCGCCATGGAATGGCGGCCGAGGTTTAACTAGGGAAGATTGACGAGAGGGAAGGGAGTTCGACAAGAAAAGAAGGAAGTACAAGGAGGGGGTTGTCCCTTCTACAGTAGGATGCAGTTAGTAGCATAACTACCAAGCTTACAATTATATAAAATATACTTGAACACACACGCTAGGTTTGGTAGTAGGAAGACCCACACACCCCACACCCCCTAACCTAGCACCCCCATTCCCATCAGCCACGACGACTCCAACAGGGCCAACCCCAAGGCCTTGGAGATGGCGACTGCGGCAGTCCCGGCAGCGGCGACAGCGATGGCGACGACAGGCATGCGGCGGCAACAAGCCTGCGGCGACGACAGCGGCGACGCCGACGGCTTCGGCTTACGACGGCGGTGACGGCAGCGGCCCCCGCCCTTCCGGCGGCGTGTCCAAACTCCGCACCAGGGGAACGACCTGCGAGAGTCTGACGGCGGTTGTGGTGAAGAGGGGGGACAGAGGAAAGGGGGAAGGGGCGGGGCTTCGGATCTTCAGCGCGGCGCTTACTGGCGTGCGGGCGGGCTGCCAGTCCAGCAGCGACGCAGGTGGGACGCGGCGGCTGCAGCCCGACGACGTCGCCACGACACCATTACGACGCCGCCACAGCGTGGCGTCGGTGCCACGGCTGCTCGTCGAAGCTGAGACGGCAGGATTAATAGGCCGCCGCGGCATCACGGAAAAGATGCCACGGCGGCAGGCAGGCGGAAAGCCGCAATGGCGGCGAAGTAACAACGGGAACGCAGCGGAAGCGTAGTGAGCAGGCCCCGGACGGGCGACCTGCTCTGTTACCATGTCTTGAACCGAGCTACCAAGAAAGAAGAAGGCCGCCATGGAATGGTGGCCGAGGTTTAGCTAGGGAAGATCGACGAGAGGGAAGGGAGTTCGACTAGAAGAGAATGAAGTACAAGAAGGGGGTTGTCCCCTCTACAGTAGGATACAGTTAGTAGCATAACTACCAAGCTTACAATTATATAAAATATAATTGAACAAGTACCTCAAATCCTATCCAGAGGCCTGATTGTAAGTCGTGTCGTACATCAGTTAGTGAAGTTCAGATGCTTCAAGCTTATGTCTGACCATTCTGAGTACACTGCGTTGTTAGTAATATTGTATCTACGTTCACCAATATCTAAATCAACACCCATTTCTTATGGCAAACTAGTGGAGCATTCAGTTGTGATGTAATTATGTTTTAGACATGTTTATGCCCGCAATTTAGCAGATGTTCAGCTCTAGGTTGAATCAACAATAATTGTATTGCCTCGACACTTGCGCTAGAGTTGCGCTAGTCGCTTACCCTCGGATAATTTT